TCACTCTAGGAGGATGCACTTAATGTAGACTGACAAAATGACACATGGAAGCCCCTCTGTCTTACGTTTATAGAGAACAGTCTCATCAGAGATGGTATCTTCCACAACTGAGCTTCACCTGAGGATAAATTAGAGTGGTCTCCTCCACGGTACACTCAGGAGAGAATGAGAGTGAAAAAGGCAAATAACATCTTGGTGTTATCATAAAAATAGTTCCAACCTTGCAGACCCCATGAAAGCATCTCAAGGACCTCCTGGACCACGCTTTGAGAAATGCTGACATATAGAAAAGTACACAGTGTATGTTTATGTCTGTTGAAAGTAACAGGATAAATTTATAATGAGAGGAACCAATGAATAAATAATAAAGTGTGCAACCCAGGGGTTGTTTTGGTTCCTACTCATTAATACAAACCCTTTTTAATTATCCTGACTGAAACTGTACTCTTCATATTCCAGACAGAGTACATAGAAATGGAATGGGAAACAAGGAAATTTGTTTAAAATACTCCTAGTAGCTAAGTAATTGTTGTTGTTGTTAGGTGCCCATCGAGTAGGTTCCAACTCATAGCAACTCTGTAGGAGAGAGGAGAACTGCCCCATAGGGTTTCCAAGCAGCGGCCGGTAGATTTGAACTGCCGACCTTCCGGTTAGCAGCTGAGCTCTTAACCACTATGCCACCAGGGCTCCAAAGAGCTTATATTTGGAGGAGATTACAGCAATTAATGGTGGGGTGGGGGGAGGGGGGAGACAACACTTAGAACAAATGAGACAAAGAAGTAGATCTGAGCACATGATCAAAAGTTATTGTTTCCAGGCACAACTGTTTGGCCTGGTTGAGAGACCGTAATCACCTTTGGAAGAAAGGGTTGGAGAAATTGGTTGTCTAGTAGGAAGAATTATAATTTGAGAAGAGTATCATTCTCTTATTGTAATTATAATAGATTATGAGGTTGCATATTCACATTCTCTTCCCCTGTTTTACTCATTGAGCTACTGACTGGAAGGATGCTTGGACTGGGAAAAGGCCCTCTCCAGGCTGAGAATTACAGCTCCTATAGCAGCCCACAGTTTATACTGCATCTACTGCTAGTCTTGTGCTTAACAATGGTCCAGGAGGATTGGGCTGAACCAGTGAGTACTGAGAGTAGAACCGAGAGTCAGCCCATGAAAGCCACTGCCAGTGAATTGATTCTGACTCTAGGTGACCCTAGAGGACTGAGTAGAACTGCCCCATAGGGTTTCCGAAGCTGTAAATCTTTATGGAAGCAGACTGCCATATCTTTCTCCTACGGAGTGGGTAGTGGATTCGAACTGCCAACCTTTTGGTTAGCAGATGAGCACTTTAACCACTGCCCCACCAAGGCTCCTTAGAGAGTCAACATTGATTATAATCAGTACTTAATATTCATTGAATAATTAAAAGGTTCTAAGTGGTTTTAAAATACTATATTCATCTGCCAAATACATTGTACTTTTGTCTTTTTCACTCTCCTGTTTAAGTGGCAAAGAAGTCAATTGTTGTATTTAGGCACAGTGCCTAACTGTAGGTCAGCTAACTGATCGAAGTCCAAAAAAAACCAAATCCGTTGCCGTCAAGTCAATTCCAACTCACAATGACCCTATAGAACAGAGTAGAACTGCCCCGTAGGATTTCCAAGGAGCGGCTGGTGGATTCGAATTGCCAACCTTTTGTTTAGCAACCATAGCTCTTAACCACTGCGCCACCAGGGCTCCAAGCTGCTGATCTAAGTATTAACCTCTTAATTAGCTGGCTTTCTCAAGATTCTTGGAATAGCCAGAAAAGAGGAAGAAGTAAAAAATGTGAGAGAGGAATCTTTTACCTTCAATCATAATGTTGTCCCTGCTGCCATAGCAATGCTGAAATATTTGTTGTAACTCTAGTTGAGTACCAGAAGTTATAGGAATCATGACAAAGGCACAAATACTCATGAATAGACAAAAGAAGGTGCCACTGAAATGGGAGAGTAAGTCACATATTATTTACTAAGAGGGTAAAAATAAAGCCAAGTTTGAAATCTAGCCATTATGATAAGACTAGGCCAAAATTACTTGATTTGAGCCCTGGAACCTGCATTAAAAGAATCTCAGGAACACGGAGAGTAAAAATAATAATAATAATATTAGGGGAGAAAAAAAAAAAACCTATTCCCACTGAGTCAATTCCGACTCGTAGTGACCCTATAGGACAGAGGAGAACTGCCCCATAGGGTTTCCAAGAAGCGCCTGATGGATTTGAACTGCTGACCTTTTGATTAGCAGCCGTAGCTCTCAACCACTACACCACCAAAAGGGGAGCATAAATATCTTGCCAGAAAAGCTAAATGAAATCATACTTTTCCATTACTGTGGCAAAAGATAGACAGCAAGCTAGGTTCAATACAGCCATCCTTCAAGGCTACAACATCTGTCCTTGAGATGTTCTAGACTCATTCTTACTGATGAAGATCAAAGACTACAGCCTTTAGTATGGATTACATCTCAACATAAAACAAAAATCCTCACAACTGGACCAATAAGCAACATCATGATAAACGGAGAAAAGATTGAAGTTGTTTTCATTTTACTTGGATCAACAGTCAACACCCAAGGAAGCAGCAGTCAAGAAATCAAACTACATATTGCATTGGGAAAATCTGCTACAAAAGAACTCTTTAAAGTGTTACAAAGCAAAGATGTCCCTTTGAGGACTAAGGTGCACCTGACCCAAGCCATGGTATTTTCAATTGCTTTACATGTATGCGAAAGCTGGACAATGAATAAGGAAGACCGAAGAAGAATTGACGCCTTTGAATTGTGGTGTTGGTGAAGGATATTGAATATACCATGGACTGCCAGAAGAACAAACAAATCTGTCTTGAAAGAAGTACAGCCAGAGTGCTCCTTGGAAGCAAGGATGGCGATACTTCACCTCACCTACTTTGGACATGTTATCAGGAGGGAACAATCCCTGGAGAAGGACATCATGCTTGGTAAAGTAGAGAGTCAACGAAAAAGAGGAAGACCCTCAATGAGATGGATTGACGCAGTGGCTGCAACAATGGGCTCAAACATAGCAACGATTAGGCCAGAAGGTGCCTCTCATTGGTCGGGTGCCTCTCGTTTTGTGTTTTAAACCCCTGGTCTATAGAGAAATGCCCTTGGAAGTGGCCTTGCCAAGGAAGAGGTGGCCTTGAGAATTAAACTCCTCCCCCTTACCTCTCCCTGGGAATCTTTTCTTTACCCTGAATCCCTCAAGGAAAAAAAAAAAAACAACAAAAACACAGCAATAATTGTGAGGGTGGTGCAGGACCAGGCAGTGTTTTCATTCTGTTGTACATGGGATTGCTATGAGTCAGAGCCAACTCAATGGCACCTAACAACAAGACTCACTCTTGACTGCATCTTAGGGTCAACTCCTGAGGTAATCCAAAGATGGCCACTAGTTAAGGTGTATTACTTAATTTCTCAGCCATATTTTCCCATGTAACATTCCTTGATTGAAAAGAAAGCTCTTTGATTCCTAAACAGCCTGTATGGATCTTAACGTTCCTATTCCTTCTCATCTTAAAATTTTGTACTGTACCACAAATACTGCTGGTCTTATAAACCCCTAAATCCCACTGCTCTGTAATAACTCTAAGGATCACATAGTGAGATTTGTAAACAATGATTTAAGCAAAACATTGAGAAACTAATGGTATGTTGTTTTGATAGCATGATACTTTTTATCAAACCTGCTATTTTAGGGCTTCCATCTGTTAGAATCTGTAGTTCTACTGAAATGATATTTTTCATTAATTTTATCAAAACATATTTAATATCTGTTATGAATAAATGATATTTTTATTATGGCTGTGTACATTTTTTTACTTGCTTTCTAAGGCAGATAAAAAATTTTTTTGTTTGTTTTAGCTCATTTATAGGCCGTTAATTATTTTGTGTAGATTGAACTTTCTCTTAAGTGGAGTATAATTTTTAATATAAAATAGTCTTATTTTTAGATTGGTATGTGAATTTTTTTAAATTCTTTTAATTGATAGGGCACTTCAGAGTATTTGCCTCAACCGAAACTTATAAAAACAAGCTTCTTAGAAACGTTCAGGGCTGCTTCCTAAGCAATTATGCCAGCTACAAATACTTAGACACTGATTGAAACAATCAAGCAGTAAGATAAAATAGACTAAAGATTTGGAGAAATTGAGTTGATTGAATCATTCAGCTTTTAAATCAGCTAGTAAGGAAAATATCTCTAGTTTAATCAATGTGTCAGAACTTTGTATCATTATTAGGTGAGATGGCTCCGACTACAGTTAAAACTGTTCTTAGAATGAGAAAAGATACAGCTGGAAACAATTTAAAATTGAGAATTCAGAAACATTTGACGCACACATGAGAGGTAAGATTTAAAAAATATAAAGACTTAGTGATAAAAGGAAATTATAGTAGCTTTTGTTAGAAATACTATCTTCTTCTGACAGAAAAAGGATATAATACCAGAAAATTCAGTGAATAATGAGAAATACTAGGAACCTGAGAGTTTTTTATTTGACTAATTATCTTGTTACAAGAAAAAGTAACCTTTCTAAGTAATTTATCATAGTTTTAAAGAACACATAGGTGAATATTTGAGTCTTGTTATTCCTGGTTTTTGAATTTGCAATGCTCAGTAACTTTCTTGGAATCCTATGGAGTAGTGGTTAAGAGCTTGTCTGCTAATCAAAAGAGCAGCAGTTTGAATCCACCAGCCACTGCTTGGAAACCATAAGGGGCAGTTTTACTCTGTTCTGTAGGGTCGCTGTGAGTCGGAATCAACTTGACAGCAGTGGGTTTGGGTTTTGGAATAACTTTCTTATTGAGATGTAGTATAATTTTATTCTGAACATTTATTTACATGACTGAGTCTAAACATTGTTTTTCCATATTGCTTTCTTATGTGTATAATTAGTTTAAAAAATGTTTTAATACCTTACAATGCACCTGTCTCTTTGCCCCCACAGCAATCGTGTGGAAGCATGGACAAGAGATGTTGCTTTCTTACTCAGACAAGAAGGCAGGCCTATGGTTAATCTTATCCCTAATAAGACTAAAGTAAGAGTGATGGAAAAGGACTGGACAAATACAGACAGAGCGGTAAATTGGTTAAGAAAGGAAGCAGTTAATTATACTCAACCATTTGTTCTTTACTTGGGATTAAATTTACCACACCCTTACCCTTCACCATCTTCAGGAGAAAATTATGGATCTTCAACTTTTCACACATCTCTTTACTGGCTTGAAAAAGTAAGTGTACTATGTGTGCTCAATCGTGGAAGTTAACATTTTATTTGTAGGTTAATGGTATTTGCTCATTGTTTCTTGTTTATCACTTTTTTTAAATTTTGAAAATTGTATATTCTCATGAAATCAAACTTGACCGATAACTGGTTTATAAAAACTGAAGGGTCAATTTTACAGATATCAGGCAAGTATTAAAACTCAGAAACCTACTTCAGAATTGAATACCTTTTCATATGGTATATCTGTGGGAGTACAGGTATCCTTGCTTTGCTTGGTAATACAGGACTGTAAAAATAACATGTAAGCCAACACCAGACGAAGAGATCTTAATAATCAATGGGAGAAATGACTTCAAAAACATTTGTCATGGTATAAATATATGGGGAAATGGAAAAATATGGTAAAGCTAATACTTATTTAATATATTTGGAAACATTGAGAATTAACATAATTTTTTGTAAGAAAAGAAACAAAACAAAACTTATCACAAGTAGTTTGAACAGTGCTTGCCTTCTTCTGACTCTATAACGTATGATACAAAGCAAGCATCTTTTCCCCATCTTGGTGAATTGTCACATTCCTTTCTAAGTTTGGATCACTGTCAACCTTTTATCTTTTGCTCTTTCAATGTGATGATCTATCTCCAAAAGTTCCTTTAATGTAAAGTTTTTTGCTGGCATCACTTCCTCTGAGACATCTTCATTCTTTGCATCACACCGAATTTCCTTGTGTATATTGATAAGTTTGCCTTCACTGAGTTTTTCTAGCTACATATAAAGAGTCTCTCAAATGGTAGCAATGTCAGCATTTCCAGGGTCAGTTGTCTCCTCTACGGCTCCGTTTACGTTTGATTCTAATTTCACTTCCAGCATTATCACTTTGTTTCTTTGTTGGCCAATTCCCTTTCACCTTTGTTGGCCAAGTCCCTCTTTTGATTTTTTGTAAAATGTCATGTGGGTTTATCACTGGGAGACAAGGAGGGAGCACAACTACACACTTTGCTCTCTGTCCATGAACTGAACCACAAACGCACAGTGACCAGTTACTTACTGGCTCTGAAAAAAAATGATGTGATTGGTCATTGACTGATGTACTCCTATTATTTACATAGTGACTTACAAACAGAAGAGCTGGCAGGAAAGTTTATACTTTTCTGCAATGACTCACTGTTAACATACCCTTGTAACTGAAATTTTAACTGTGTTGTTGGCAGACTGGTATTATTTAACTAAACCATGGTAACTAAAATCTGTACATATCTGAACCATGCGAAGAGAGAACTGCCTGTGTTTGAAATGTGTCATCTTAAATTTCAGTTACTTTCGAAGCTCTAATCAAAAACATTTTTAGGGCATCCTAATTTAAAGGAAATAGTGTCAGAGCTTCAAATACTTAATGTCGTCTTTAAAAGTTCTGGATAAATGAAGTTTTGATACATGCTATGACATGGATGAACCTTTAAAATATTTTGCTGAATGAAACAAGCCAGACAGAAAAAGACAAATATTGTATGATCCAATTTATATGAAATACCTAGATTAGGCAAAGGCATAGAGACAGAAAGTAGATTTTGGTTACCAAGGACTGGAGAGAGGGTGAGAATGGGAAGTTACTGCTTAATGTGTACTGAATTTCTGTCTGGGGTGATGAAAAAGTTTTGGAAATAAATACTGCTGTGAATGCAAAAAAAGTCCTGGGTAGCGCCATCTTCAAACATTTGTCAGGAGTTAGTACCAGTTAGGAGTACCATTTTAGGAGGTAGCATATGATTAGTAACTGATGATATTCAAGGAAGAAGTCCAAACTGTACTGAAGGCACTGGAGCAAAACAATTCCCCAGGAATTGACGGAATACCAATTGAGATGTTGCAACACACGGATTCAACACTGGAAGCACTCACTCGTCTGTGCCAAGAAGTTTGGAAGACAGATACCTGCCCAACCGACTAGAAAAGATTCATATTTGTGCTCTTTCCAAAGAAAGGTGATCCAACAGAATTCAGAAATTATCGAACAACATCATTAATATCACAAGCAAGTAATATTTTGCTGAAGATAATTCTAAAACAGTTGAAGCAGTTCATCAACAGGGAACTGCCAGAAATTCAAGCCATATTCAGAAGAGGACATGGAATGAGGGTATCATTGCTGATGTCAGATAGATCATGACTAAAAGCAGAGAATACCAGAAAGATGTTTACCTGTATTTTATTGACTATGCAAAGGCATTCAACTGTGTGGATCATAACAAATTATGGGTAACATTGTAAAGATTGGGAATTCTGGAACACTTAATTGTGCTTATAAGGAATCTGTACACAGACCAAGAGGCAGTCATTCAAACAGAATGAGGGGATACTGTGTGGTTTAAAATCAGGAAGGGTTTGTGTCAGGGTTGTATCCTTTCACCATACTTAATCAATCTGTATGCTGAGCAAATAGTCGGAGAAGCTGGACTATATGAAGAAGAATGCGGCATCAGGATTGGAGGAAGACTCATTAACAACCTGCGATATGCAGATGACACAACCTTGTTTGATGAAAGCAAAGAGTATTTGAAGCACTTACTGATGAAGATCATAGACTACAGCCTTCACCTCAACATAAAGAAAACAAAAATCCTCACAACTGGACCAGTAAACAACATGATGATAAACGGAGAAAACACTGAAGTTGTCAAAGATTTCATTTTACTTGTATCCACAATCAATGCCCATGGAAGCAGCAGTTAAATCAAATGATGTATTGCACTGGACACATCTGCTGCAAAAGACCTCTTGAAAGTGTTACAAATCAAAGATGTTACTTTGAGGACTAAGGTGCGCCTGACCCAAGCCATGGTATTTTCAGTCACTTCATATGCATGTAAAAGCTGGGCAATGAATAAGGAAGATCAAAGCAGAATTGATGCCTTTGAAGTATGGTGTTGGCGAAGAGTATTGAGTATACCATGCATAGATTGCCATAAGAATGAAGAAATCTTCCTTGGAAGAAGTATAATCAGAGCACTCCTTAGAAGCTAGGATAGCGAGATTTCATCTCACGCACTTTGGACATGTTATCAGAAGGGACCAGTCCCTGGAGAAAGACATCATGCTTGGCAAAGTAGAGTGTCAGCGAAAATGAAGAAGACCCTTAATGAGATGGATTGACAGTGGCTGCAACAGTGGGCTCAAACACAGCAACAATTGTGAGGACGGCACAGGACTGGGAAGTGTTTCATTCTGTTGTACGTAGGGTTGCTATGAGACAGAACTGGCTCAGCGGTGCCTAACAACAACAAAAACAGTACTAGCTGAATGAAATGAGTTCAATAAATTTTGAGGTATTTTTGAAAGTTACATGACTAAATGATACATATGACTTAAAAGCTTTGTCTTAATTGTTTTTACCAAAACTGTAAGCATTCGTATGCATTAAAAAGTTGTGTTTGTTTTTATCAGACATCTGGCTATTTCACTATCTGTTAGCATCATTACTAGTGAACTATTGACAAAAAGAAGTCTGTGTTCATTCTGGAGTTTTGAATTGGTCAGACAACTATTTTAAAGTGGGTGGACACTTTTCTGGACTAGAGTACTGTAATATAGCTCATGTTTTTCATTGATATGTATAATTTTTTAAATAATTTTCACAACTGTTTTACTATATATACAGATACTGATATACACCTTTTGTCGTTACTGGAAATATTAGCAGTTTGTTCCTAATTTATGTGTTTGATTTACTGTTTTCTTTACATAATTCATAACCATTCTCTTCTACTATCTTAAGTAATTAAACTTTGTCTAGTTCAACATACATACTTGTTGGGGGGTAGGGAGGAATATTGCCACCCGCTAAGCACAACAATTAAATACTTGGCTGTTAACTGAAAGGTTAGTAGTTTAAACCCACGCAGCCATTCCTCATAACAAAGCAGAACAGACCTGATGTTCTGCTTCTGTAAAGGTTACATCCAAGAAAACCCTACGGGGCAGTTCTGCTCTGTCACATGAGGTCGCTGTGAGTCGGCACCCAGCAACAACAGCAGCATCACTAAGTTTTTTCTCACGTGTAACTAAGTTTTTCTCTCACTTTTTTAGGTAGCTGAAAATGCCATCAAAATCCCAAAGTGGTCGCCTCTGTCAGAAATGCACCCTATAGATTATTACTCTTCTTATACAAAAAACTGCACTGGGAAGTTTACCAAAAAAGAAATTAAGAATATTAGAGCATTTTATTATGCTATGTGTGCCGAGACAGATGCCATGCTTGGTAGGTGGTATAATTAATACGCAATTACATGAAGAAAAAGTGTAATATTTTTTCAACAAACTGTGATCATGCTGGTTGGTGACTTCTATGAACATCCTCGAATAATTCCTCAGGACAGTTGCTTAGATACTTTAGGCTTAGAATTTTGAAAATCTTGACACACATAAAAGTTGGATAACTTGCATTATTAATAGTAGAATAAGAAGCCTTTCCTGTCTTAATTATTCATAAATTAACACATGCTCAAATTTGTTCATATGTGAAGAAAGGGTAGTAGAAGGTTACCATTTGCTTGAAACAAAACTTGTTACCAGCTTTAATCAGGAAGCTATTCAGCCAGACACTGGTACATATGTGACAGGTAATTGTAAGGCAGCTTAGGTTCTAGGAGATGAGAAAGTTTAGCTGTAGAATCTTGCGACCTCTTCTAGCCTTATAAAAATTGTAAAACAAATCCATTCTCCCTAAGCCCTTTAGAGCAAAGTAGTTTAACTAAAGCTGAAATCAGTTTCCTCGTGTATATTCTGACCCAGAATCATAGTGAATTCCCCTCCCTCATTCAGGCTCAAGGTCAGCTCAAGACTAAACGTGTCTCCCTACGGTGATTATCAAGAGAGGTCTTGCCTGTTTACTTGTGGTAGTTTCCAGTTCAGATGTGGAGAGACAGCAGCCGAGTGGAAAGACAGTAACAAAAGTTATTTTCATAAAACCGTATGATGTATTTTGCTGTACTTTGGAGTGAAACATAATTGCATTAGTGAAGTATGGGTAGCCCTCTTCTCTACAGAGCAAACCTTGGGATTGCTCTACAGAGCAAACAAGTGAATGACTGTTTATTAAAAAGTATTCATTGGCAAAAATAGAAAAGTATAAAGCAGAAAGCAAAAAATACATATAGGCAAATTATTTATAACATAGCAATATAATATATATTAAGAGGGTCTTAAGAACTCTGTAAATAATCTTAAATGCAAATAAAACTTTTAAGTTTCTTTAGTTATAAATACATCTGTTGAATTCTGTTTCATCAATATTTTCATAAATGTTCATCTATTTGCACCCTAGAAATCACTTTCAAAAGTTTACAGCTGTCCATTCATCCATATCTCCCACAGTGAAATACTATATAATGTGTGAAGATGAAGTGGGGAGGGGTGCTGCAGAGAGTGTGGGAATGCTGTTAAAGTGTCTTCAGAGAAAAAAAAGCAGCAGCTTGCTGACTTCAGGTTATAAACTTTAAGGAATATATTGCATCTTTGTTTTTAAGTCAACACTGGGTTGGTCACTAAATAGTATTACTGTTCAGTGTGTTTGTTCAAAAACATTTATTTAGTCCTGCTAGTTATCATGCACTGTGTTGGGCATGGGTGGTATTATGTTGAATAATATTAAAAAATCACACATTAATTAAAAACATTCTAAGCTCTTCTCCCATCTCAGGGCCTTTATATTTGCTGCTCCCTCTGCCTGGGATTCCCTTCCCTTTGCTTTTAACAGGGCTGACTTAATTCTTAGGTAAAATGAGAGTCTTTAGTTCTCAGCTCAAATACCACCTCCTCAGGCATCATCAGTGCTTGATGTCTTTCTCAGCCACTTTACATTAGTATACTGCCCCTTATTGTCCTGCTTACTCTGCACCTTATTGCCTTGTTTATATTATAATCTTTAATTATTTTGTTTGTTTACTTGTTCACTGTCTCCCTTGAAGAATGCAGGCTTCTTGAGGGCAGGAACATTCAGTCTTATTCAACATTGCATCCTAGGTGCCTAACATATTGCCTGGCAGAGAGCAAGCACACTGTAAACTATTGAATGAATACAAACACCATGAATTACAATATAATGTAACTACAGTATGATATAAGCTATAAGGGTATATTGGGGGTCAGAGTGATTCACTCTACCTGAAGGAGCGAGGCAATAATGCTTGAGATAGGTAATGAAAGAATAGAAATTGGCCAAGTAGATGGTGAGGGAAAGGGTTTTCAATGCAGAAGGCAGAGTGTGTGCAGAGGTAAGAAAATCTAAACCAATATGGTGTTTTCAGGGAATTCAAAATAGCTTGTGATTGCTGAAAGGTAAAGTTCTAGGGGATAGCTGAAGGTTCTGAGGCTGAAAGTGAAAGGGGTCTTGTGTGTCATGCTAAGAAGTTTGACAATGGGAAACTGCTAAAAAGATGTCAGTAGGGGTGTGACATGATCAGGTATTTTAGAACAGGGCTTCAAACCGGTTGGTTCAGGTTTGTACCCCTGCTGAGAATTTGCCTTTCCACCCCAGATATACTGAATCAGAATCTACAGTTTAACAAGATCCCCAGGTGATTCTTAGGTATAATAAATGATAAATGTTGAGAACCACTGCTCTACTAGTAGTTCTCAGAATTGGTCCCTAACCACCAGCATTAGCATCACCTGAGAACTTGTTAGAAATGCAGATTCTCAGTGGGGTGGGGGAGGGAGTTAAACCAGAAAGAACTGAGTTTGAAGCCCTGTTTTAGAAAGATAGCCATCAGAGTGGTACAAGGGAGACTGTGGAAGGAAAGAGGAGTGGAGGCAAAAAGAGCAATTAGAAAGCAATTACAGTTGTCAAACTGAAAGATCATGAGGGTCTGAACTCTTTAAACTGCGTGGAGCAGTAGATCTCACTCAATTCTGACTGGACCTCAGAATCACCTGTCGGGCTTTTTAATAATGCAGAACCCTTTACCTGAATTTCAAGAACTGCTCAAATAGGGATGACTCTTCTCTCTGAACTACGCTTTATTTTGATCCTCTTAAATACAGTGAGGGGCAAGTTTCAGGACACGCAGACACAGAGATTGGTTCAAGGAATTTTACTGTCCCTTTATTCCCTATCCAAGAATATGCTGAATTACATTCATATACTATCTACACTGCCTCCAGCCCTTCCTCAAAGGTGAGATTTCCATAACCCCCAAACTTCGTGGGCATGATCTAGTGATTGTTTGGAGACAGAGAAGAGTAGCAGGGAGGAGGTGTCTGATCCTTCGTACTACCTCCTAGTAAGCAGAAGTTGTGGGCCTATGGTGATATTAATCTTATTCTTTGCATCATATGAGACATGTACAGTGATGACCTCCAGACCTGTCTTTCTTCTCTAATTCGAGGGACTAAGGGGAAGATTTTTTTTTCCCCATTTCTCTGATGTAAGTATAGAAAGCAAGCTAGCATGATCTTAAAATAAAGAAGCTTTGAGCAAGAGTTCCTATAGGTATTTTCTCCTTCCCAAGTTTAGTCTGTCAGCTGGGAAACAGGCACCTGAAACTTGATGAAAATTACAGAAGAATAGTAGATAATATTCAGTTTGTTCATCCCATCTGCTTCTCATGGTTTTATTAAAGGGTCCCAAGGGATCAGGGGTCTTCCATTAATAGCCCTCTTTCCAAAAAGTCTGATTCTATGGAATGAATCCTAGGCATCAATTTATTTTTGTTAAAAACTCTACAGGTGATTCCAGTGTCCAGCCATAGTTGAAAATGATTTGCATAAAGTTTGTCATCTTTGTCCATTTTCTTAGCTAAAACCAAAACCAAAAAACCCTATACCGTCAAGTCAATTTCGCTCATAGTGACTCTATCAGTTTATTTAAGGAGCTATGGTGGTGCAATGGTTAAGCTCCTGGTTGCTAACCAAAAAGTTGGCGGTTTGAACCCATCAACCACTCCACGGGAGAAAGATGTGGCAGTCTGCTTCCGAAAGATTACAGACCTGGAAACCCTGTGGAGCAGTTCTATTCTGTCCTGCAGGGTCGCTATGAGTCAGAAGCAACTGGACAGCAACAGGTTTGGTTTGGATCAGTTTATCTAGGCTGTTTATCGGCAACTAAAGGAGTCCCTGGAACACAGTAGGTGCTCAAACATTTGTACATTAAATGAATGTGTACATTCATGAAGGCTAAAGTACATATTCACTGTTCAACATATGATTCCCAATTTGCAGTTTCAGGAAAAAATTAAAGCAAGCATTTTATACAAAGAATAATTCCTAATACCTGCAATTTTTTCTCCCGTCCCTGTTTTAAAAGATGCCAAGAAGCGTTCTGATAAACTTTTATAGGTAAAGTTGTTGTAAATTTAATGTGATAGGAAAAAAACTGAGAACTAAAATCTAATTTAAACATAGATTTACCTTTATGTTCTAGGTGAAATTATTTTGGCTCTTCGCCAGTCAGATCTTCTTGAGAAGACTATTGTCATATTCACCTCAGACCATGGAGAGTTGGCCATGGAACATCGACAGTTCTATAAAATGAGTATGTATGAAGCCAGTGCCCATGTTCCACTTTTGATGATGGGTCCAGGAATTAAGGCCAACCTACAAGTATCAAATGTGGTTTCTCTTGTGGACATTTACCCTACTATGCTTGGTACGTAATACAATTCTGTAAATCTTTTATTTTTAATAATTCTGGAAAAGGAAAAGCAAAGTAGTCAGAGGCCTTGCTGACTTGTTTATAATCTTGAGCAACTCATATAATTGTGAGTCATATCCATACTCTGAAAAATGAGGATATTATTCATGTTTCTGTGTCCTTCGCTTACTATAGCCATTTTCCCTTCAAAAGATTAATAATCAGGATATGATTATAAAGTAAGCCGCATAAGATATTCAGGGTCATAACTTTATAGATATGATTGGTAGATCATTTCATTCTCTACCATCACCCCTAAAATGTAAGCATTTCCTTTCTGGATTATTCAATCTACTTTGAAACTACTAACTTTGTTCAGTGTCCCTTAATCTGCTGCCATGAATATATTTCTCCTCAAAATCTTCAGATCTTTACTCTTTGTTTGCTTTACTAGCTTCTTAATGTCTATAAGCATAGCCATAGATCTAGAACAGCAACATTTGGATAGGGATAGTTAGCAGTTTTGTGAAGATAACTAAAATAATACCATCATTGAATTCAAAGGAAACTATACAGAACTGACTCTTAGTTTCTATATAATTCAGCAGAGAATACTTTAAATTCATTAACATTTAAATATTATAGCTTCTCTGTTCTAAGACACCATCAATTCATAGATAGATTTTGGTGAAAGAAAAGATAGCACAATATAAAATGTATCTATAGATTCAAATTTCGGAAATGTTAAAAAGTGAAAGAAACATGCATCTTGTTATTTGCCGTCGAGTCGGTTCCAGTGTTAGTTGCTGTCAAGTCGATGACCCATGTGTGCTGATTAGAACTACTCCATAGGGTTTTCAAGGCTCTGACCTTTTGGAGGCAGATCACCATGCCTTTTTTCTTCCAAGGTACCTCTGGGTGGGTTCAAACCACCAACCTTTCGGCTAGCAGTTGAGAAAAAAATTAGAGAGTTGTTTCTGTCTCCTTCCTCCTGCTGCAGTCTTTCACTCATTTAAAGACTATTCCAAGGTCTTAAATTTCTTTACAATTACTTTAAATCAGTACCCTTTCTTTTTCTCTTTTATTTCAGATCACGTCTTGTATATTGGAACACACTTCTTTCTTGTTCTTTCGCCGGATGTGTATTTTTAATTCCTTCAGTTTCTTAGTCATCATTTGATGGTTCCCTTTTGTCCCAAAGCAATTATCACACTTAGCCGAATCTCTGCCATTTTCTACCTACATCAATTCCCAGCCCATCTCTGTTACTTTCCCTCATTTCTGTTTTTATAAGAAACATGTAGTTTCTTTTGTGTATTTGTGTGTCTCTCTTAGCATCATCTTTATAGTTTTATGTATATATGCTTATTTATGTTGGCATTTCTTTACAGTTTCTTCCCTCAGGTTTTCCTCATGTACAGCTTTCACTCCACCCTATTACCCCAAAAATCCTCCTACGTCCATAATATTTGCATGACTTTGTTAGCCTTGTTCTGTTTTCTTGAGGTACAATGACAGAACTGCAAAAAAGTATTACAAATGATTATGAAAGGTTGGGGCAATTCTGTCTCAGATTTTCCCTTAAGTTTTTATTTATTTCAAGTTAAACTTTTTTTTACAAATAATAAAAGGTTAATATTCATAAAACTCTTATAAATCTATAGGAAAAAGAGAAATGTCCTATTAGCAAAATGACCAAAGGCTGTAAACAAGCAATTCACAAAAGAAGATATACAAATGGCCAAAATATTTTTTAAAGTTTATATTCATTAGTCATAACAAATTAAAACAAAGATAGAATTTTTCTTTCACATGTCAAGTTTGTAAAGATTAAGAAGAATTAGAAAATCTTGCATTAGACATAGCCCTTTTCATATACTGCTGCTGGGAATATAAACTGACACAAATTTTCGGGACGGAAATGTGTCATTATGTTTCAGATCTCTTAGAAATGTATATACCTTTTGATCTAGACATTCACATATTAGAAAATATAACTTAAAGACAAATACAAAGATTTATCTGGATGGATATCTATTATAGCATTATACTATTTATTAACAAAGAACTGGAAACAATACAAGTGTCTAGCAGTAATAGATTGGGTAAAAAAATAGCTAGTTGTATTTAAAAGGGTAAAGTGATATTATGTGAAAATGTTCTCCATATATTATTAAGAAGAAAATATAGGCTTTAAAACTGTATGAACAGTTGTTTTGTTTTGTCTGTAGTTTGTTTAATGAGATAGGGTGACTATCTAATTTTTTGTCCAAGTCAGGACATTTTTGAGAATGAAAACTAAGTCTGTTACCTTGGTTAACAGCCAGCAGGGCAAAGAAAATTCTGATGGTACATTTTAATCCAATGTTCAAGTCAACCTTTTAAAATGAAATTTCTGTACCGGAAGTTTAAAACTACTTTAATTGTGATCAACTCTAAAATTAGACCTTTAGTAGCATATGTTCTGTTTGACCTCTGCTTAATAAGTAAACATACAGATTTTGGTAAAGTAACTCCCAAGGACTTGTTATTTTGTGATTCTCCAATTAGGAGCTTAAAATAGACATACAGCATAACCTATTCTTAGAATTCTAAAGGTCCTTTCTTTGTTAGCTTAACTGCAGCTGTATTATTTTATATGAATCCATTTGCACATAGTATGGTTAAACTTCTCAAATCAAAGCTGCAAGCCAGACTTCCTCTTCCCTTCCATTCTATAAACTTTAGAAATATCATGTAAAATATAGTGTTTCGAAAAACCTTCCATAGAAAGATACTGAATAGGAAAAAACATATTGGATTTAAGAATTCTTTATTGTATTAAAATTGATATAATTACTTAAGAGATTATTCTTTTAAAAAGACTGTATGAACTGTTGTTTTCTTCCCTAATAACCTGGTACCAGCACTCTTTAGCTAAGTTAGAAATAAAGGTAGTCAGTTTTAAAATCAAACTTGTTTTGATTTTCACTTTCAAACTCCTTATTTTCATGTGATTTTTTTTTTCTTTTAATACAAATTGATCTTTTTGGAAAACACTTGCCTTCTCCCCACTTAAAAGATAAGTCCAAATTTTTTGTTGTTGTTGTGAGGAAAAAAAAAAAACTATATAAAATGCAAGAGCATTTAAATGAATCTTTAATGGCTAGTAATTTAAATTGCAAAGCCCTACTTGTTATAAAATCTTGGTGTTGGTCAGGGGGTAGGTAGACTCTTGTCCTTATTGGGTGAAAAATATTGTGAAGTTGAATGACTACTGTAAAGCAAGATTTGTGGTGTAGTATTTGTCATGGATTGAATTGTGTCCCCCAAAAATATGTGTATCAATTTGGCTAGGCCACAATTTCCAGTATTGTGTGATTGTCCACCATTTTGTTATATGATGTGATTTTCCTATGTGTTGTAAATCCTACTTCTATGATGTTAATGAGGTAGGATAGGCAGCAGTTATGTTAATGAGGCAGGACTCAGTCTACAAGATTGGATTGTGTCTTGAGCCAATCTCTTTTGAGATATAAAAGAGAGAAGCAAGCAGAGAGACAGGGATCTCATACCACCAAGAAAGCAGTGCTGGGAGCAGAGCATGTCCTTTGGACCTGGGGTTCCTGTGTGGAAAAGCTCCTAGTCCAGGGAAAGACTGATGACAAGGACCTTGCTCCAGAGCCAACAGAGACAACCTTCCCCTGAAGCTAATGCCCTGAATTTGGACTTCTAGCCTACTAGACTGTGAGAGAATAAACTTCTGTTTGTTAAAGCCATCCACTTGTGATATTTCTGTTATAGCAGCACTAGATGAGTAAGATAGTATTGAAGAACACAGAGATCCTGACATGGGACCACCTATATTCAAAATCCCTCCTTCACTGTTTATCAACCGTATGAATTTTGGCAAGTTACTTATCTCTGGTCTTCAGTTTTCTTGTTAATAACACCAGGATAATATTAGCTATTTCATACTTAATGCATGGATATTGTAAACAATTAAATGTTACATATTATTATTATCATTAGTATTTTTCATTCTTCTTAGGTAACCGCATGCAAAATATTTTGTTTGCATCATTGCAATACCAGTCTAATCCCTTATCTACTCATATGGTCAGGAAGAAATATAATACTGTTTCTCTTCAGGAGATCATCACACGTATCCAGGTGTTTTAGTTATCTAGTGCTGCTATAACAGAAATACCATAAATGGGTTGCTTTAACAAACAGAAAGTTATTTTCTCACAGTTCAGGGTGCCGGCTCTAGGGGAAGGCTTTCTCTCTCTGTTGGCTCTGGGGGAAGGTCCTTGTCTCTGAGTTTCTGCTCCTAGGCAACCTTCATGTGGCTTGGCATCTCTCGACCCCCTTCTCCACTTGCTGGCTTGCTTGTTTTAATCTCTTTTATATCTCAAAAGAGAGTGACTCAAAACACACCCTACACTAATCCTGCCTCATTAACATGCCAAAGACAACCCATTCCTAAATGGGATTATAACCACAGGCATAGAAGTTAGGATTCACAACACATATTTTTGGGAGACACAGTTCAGTCCAGAACACCAGGTCTGCATTTTAACCCGTTTACTGTTTTAAATTTAAATTGTTCTTTGTTAAGAATCTTGCACTTACTTCTTCTGTCAGACCATGGCACCTCTAGTTTCACTTAGGAGTAAAGTCTGAAGTCTTCAACCAGGCCTGGGAGCCCAACACTATCTCTTCCCCTTCACAATTCATCTTTTAAATTGTTAACCCTCACTTACTCTGCTCCAAGGAGCCCTAGTAGCTCGGTGTTTAAGCAGTTGGCTGCTAACCAAAAGGTCAGCGGTCCGAACCTACCAGCGGCTGCACGGGAGAAAGATGCGGCAGTCTGCTTCCCATAAAGCTTTACAGCCTTGGAAACCCGATGGGGCAGTTCTTCTCTATCCTTACAGGGTCACTATGAGTTGGAATCGATTCAATGGCAGTGGGTTTGGTTTTTTGTTTTTTGTTTTTGGTACTCTGCTCCAGCTATATAGGCCTCCTTGGTGTTTGAGGATTGTACCACACAGGTTTCTGCCTCAGGGACTTTATACTTGTTCCCTGGAGAATGCTCTTCCTCCAGATATCTCTAGGGCTCACTGTAGCCCTTCCTTTGGGTCTCTGTTCAATTACCTTATCAGAAAGGCCTTCCCTGACCACACTTTATAAAATAGCACAAACACACATACTGCCAGCACTCTCTCTACTCCTTACCTTGCTTTATGCTTTTTTATTGCACTTGCACTTACCACCATCTGACACAAATCTGTCTGTCTGCCTCCCCACATTAGAACATAAGCTCCACTAGAGTAGGCATTTTCTGTTTTCCCCACTGTTGTTTCCCTACACCTGGAACAGCCCCTGGTTTGTTGAACGAATAAATAAGTAAATAAATACTGAATGGTTTCTCATCCCAGTCTCCTACTGACATCTCATTGAATCACATGAGAAGCATATAAATTGTCTTAGTCTTCCAAGCTTCTTTAGGAAAATTAGGCTAAGAGTAGGTCTGAAATAAGGTATTTCTGAGTATTAAATATAACTAAAATGCTATACAGGAACTTCCCATAATCGTGAATATATGCCAGTTGGTCCCTGCTTCCCAGCCATCCTCAATGGCCTCTTTTCTCTCCTTTCCTGCTCCTCACTAGTGGTGCCACCTGATGGCTGACACACAGACCAGCCTGGCCCAGCCTTTTCCCTCCCTGCTTTCTTTCCTCTCCTTAGAATAGACCTCAGAGTCTACTGTCCTGTGTCTTCCCTGCCCACTTGGCTTTTCATTGCTTGTTGCTCAATTGGTTTCATTTTGGGCAGTCCCTTTCTCTCATGTATATCCTTTTCCCCATCTCTGTCTTTTCTTTTTTAACCAGTTATCTCTGAAACATTTTTCTTCTCTTTCTTTCAATATTTGTGAATCCAAAAAGTCCCTAATTATGATTGGGTGGCAGAAGAATATGCCTCTTTCAAGGAAAATTAAAGATAAACAAATTTTTAAATTAGATGTAAAACAAGTACCTACAGAAAGTTTACTACTATCTACTTCCTTATTTTCCTTAAATTGTTTTTCCTCAAATACTTGACAGCAGCCAAGTTAAATTAATTTTGTTGTTCAATTTTGTTCAATTTTTAGCATTGCAGATATGTTACTATTTTTCAAAAGAAATATTTAATTATACATTACAACATGGAACACTGAGACCAGAAAAGGGGCCAGAGACAACTACAGACTCATTATATGACTATCCTGGGTACCTAGCCATAATTAATGCTAAGTTTTATATAGGAAAAATATGGTTTGACTTCCAAATAAATACTTAAAAGGCATTTTTAAAAAGACAACTTGTGTTTAAGTGGGACATTTCTTTTTGTTTTTTTTTTAATGTACTCTGTTTAAATTTATTTATTTATTTATTTTTTTATTGTACTTCAGGTGAAGGCTTACAGAACAAATAGTTTCTCATGAAACAGTAGTACACATATTGTTTTATG